TTAGTTCTCGCTCAGTGAAGCTCTTCAGATTAAAAATACCTTTGAGGAAATGTATTTTCAGATGCCAATTAAACCGCATCATGGCAGCTCCCCCCCACCCCACCCCACCCCCCGCACCGAAATGGGCAGGACAGAAGCGAAGGTGGTTCTTAAAGAGACAGAGGCCAATTTCAAGGAGTTTAGAAGAGGAAGTGATGAGAAGATATGTTTATTTTCTATTTAAACATAAAACAGCATTTTAATAACAGCTAAAGGTGACATAGATACATTTTTATGGTATAATAAATGTAGTGAATTTAAATGTATGCCTGAGAAATACATAATATTGGCCCTTTAAAAACTTGGCATAATGTTCCTCTCTGTTTCTCTTGTGGTCTGTTGATGTGAGGCACTCCATCAAAGGCTTGGCCGACGCTCAGCATTTTAAAATTGGCCAACTTTACTTGATTAAACAGCCGACAGATGAATCAGTCCACCTCTGTGATTAGCTTATCATAATTAGTCTGTTTGTGCGTGTTTTTTGTCTCCAACAGGCCGTTCTGACTCTGAGCGCCCTTCGACGCTTCTTAACTGGCAGCAACACAAACTTATTCACTTGGCAACACCTAGAGCCGGCCCCGAGCCACGCCCGAGCCACTCCGTACCCCATCCCCAACGGTGCCACCATCATAACCACCAACCCCTACCAGGCCCCGCCGTTCACCGAAACCCTGGACCCCCAGAAGCTCACGCAGCAAAGACCCGCGGCTCCTGCTTTTTAGGAAACGTTCAGAAGAAAGCGGAGACGTGATCGGAACGAGGCTGCATGCGGCGCAGGAGCAGACAAATCTCCGCCTCGCTGTTTGTAAGGTTTTCACGTCCTCTCCGGGGTGGGGGGAGGGGCAGCAGGATTCTGGGTCATGTGATGTTAGAGCTCTTTTCACCATGGTAACTGCCAGCGAAGCTTAGTTAGTCGTAACTCCATGTCAAGAATACCGTCTTCTGTTCACGCACACACAAATATCAATGCACGCAGCCGTACTCTCTGAACACCTGGAAGCAGTTACACATGCACACCTGGAAACACGTGTAGATACTCTTGGAGGTGCACACACACACGCGCACCTTGACTGCATGTTGATGTGGTGAAGTGCAGATTAACACAGATTGCTCCATCTTGCCTTAAGAAGGCGACACGAGGGGGGAGACGTGGAAGACGGAGAAGCTGAGAACCCGTCCTAATCACCCTGACCAGTTTGCCTTAGAGACACGAGGCCACGTATCGRCTGAAATTCAGTCAGCTTGACCCTCAGATTGTGAACTTGCAGAAGGCAGGAACACAAAGGCAGTACTGCTTCAAGCTTAGTGTTTCATTGTAAAATATTCATGTGATTAAATATTTTATTGTGATATGCTGAATTGGTAAGAAAAAAATGAAAAAAAAGAAAAGAAGGAAGAAATAAAATCCACCCATCACCAACATGATCAGGCCTCTGATTCTGCCTTTGTTCACATAATCTTCCAATAATTGCATTTTGCTGCCTTTAATCTCATAAACTCTTCTCGCGAGCGAGATCCGAGGATGTGTTAGGCATATTAATCAACAGCTGCTGGAAGCCCACAATTAAATAAAGAAGTGTTGAATTCATTAACAGTGGCAGGCAGCTGCTGATTGTTGGCTTTATTTTTAGCTAGTGAGGCACTGTAATGCTTCCTAATTTGTTTTAGTTCGTCTAAGTCTGTTGTGAGGAAAAGATCGAAGCAAGACTCAGATGAAAGTCAGACAGGAAGTGGTTTTATTCCAGCTCTGTCCAGTCAGCTCACYGCTTCTGTTAACCTGCAGGAACATCACACAGCATCTTTTAAATATAAACGCTTGCATCATCGTTACAATCAACATCCCGAACAGCTGACATTCAAAAAGGTAGAAATTTAGCTTTCTCGTGTCATACCTGCTGTTTTAATAAAATATAATCTTAGCCTTTTCTACAAAGTTTTAACATCTGCATAAGCCCTTCTATACCTCGGTCATCACCCTGCTCCCATGCAGTTTTATCTCTTTAGTTAATGAGGAGAGCTGATGGAGGGGAAGGGGTCCGGCTCTGAGTTCAGTCAGCAGGGGGCCCTCTAACTCCACAGAGCTCTGGTCACATGCTTCACACTCAACTGTGTCTGAACTACTTCTACCCTGAGAATATGAAGACAGAGTGGAGGGGAGGGACACAACTCAGCTGACTGAACCAACAAATGGATGAGAGCAGGGACAATTAAATAAATAARKAAAGAAAGAAAGCGAGGTAGAGACTGCTGAAGCCCAGGTCACACTACATGGTTTTAACTAAAAGGCTGAAAGAGAAAAACATTGATTTTGTTCAGATTGGGTGTATCCAGCCGTGGAGGTTCTCCACGAAAAATCAACAATATATCAAGGCGCTGCAGATTGCAATCTGTGAGCTATCCAGCAACACCCAGTGGCACTGTTGGTCCAAAGATAAGAAGGAACAAAACAGAACAAATTTGGAAAAAACAACAACAAACAAACAAAAAAAGAAAAAAACGTTAAACCTGCAGCATCATTCCTACCATAATCATGATACTTTTCTGGGGAAAGAAGAAACTTTAAATAAATGTTTACAGCAAGATTCTGTAATACCTTTAAGAACTGTAGGATTTTTTTAAATCATTTGATTGACAACAATTTTATAAACCAGTAAATGCTGAACAACAGAACAGAATATTACGAATATTACAAAAAAAGAGGGCTGCACATTATATCAGTGTTTATCATTAATGCAACATCAGTGTATGCAAGCAGGGTTCCTACACATTTTCCATTTTTCAAAACATGGACTTTCTTTGTTTAATCCTCTTAATTTGAGTCACTTCTTATTATTTCATGCTAAATTATTGGATGTGGTGATTTTTTAAAATCTTAATTACATTTTTATATTTGCTTTTCAGTGCATCTTGGGAGAATAAGCAATTACCCTCTACAAAAGAATGTTTATATTTTTTGTTGATGTTTCTTTCAAAACAAATTTATATTAAGTTTGTGCTTAGGCAAACCACAAATGCCAATCTGATTTTCCTTTTTTAAATTAGGTCTATAAATATGAGCTGCTCATCCTTGTCTGCTAAAAGGTTAAAGTCATGACATTTGTCCTAATAACATTACAAACAGTAAGCTATAGAACAAAGAATTATCTGCCTTCCTTATTTTAGTTTCCAAAAGTTAGCAGTCCCAGTAATTGATGAACCACAGACGTTATGGTTAAAATAGTCAATGTGGAAAATACCCAGCCAATTTTAACAACTTTTTTAAAAAACATTGATTTTTATTTGAGTGAAAATTCAATAGGCAGTTGTATAAAACTACTAACATTTTTTTTCATACTCTTTGTTCTGGTTTCCCATACTTATCCAGACCTGGAAAATACTGAAATCACATTCTACACTTTTCCAGRCTGTGTAGGAACGCTGTGCAAAGAACTGCAATAAATCACAAAGAGAAACTGCATGCAAAATGTATTTGGCAATCAGACTGACCCCCCACTGCCCTAAACACAACTAATTTCACTGATACTGACTGAAATGCTAAAGCACACGGCAACTGTGGTGAGCATTGTGGTGATGGGGGGATAAAAGAGCAGCGAGGGAAACATGGATTTATTGCAAATAATAAAGYTATTTCAATATTTTGCCAAAAAATATCGCAACTGCATTTTATCCCCAATGTTAGGCAGCCATAAGATTATTAATCAACTGATCAGTTTCCAAWTACAGTTGATTTTTATAATCATGAACTTCTCAAATTTAAACACTTCTGCTAAAAAAATAAAAATAAATAAAAAAAATCTTTGGATTTTACGTCATAAAAATGACTGCTTGTTTTGGGCCCTACATGCTTTCTTACATTACTGGTTGATAATAAAGATGAATAATATCAAAATTATAAATGTGTAACAAATAGTTTAGTCTGTCTTAGCATGTGTATATAGGGAGATTAACCACAAAACAAATCTGCTCCTGCAGAGGTGTGCCTTGTATTCTGATCTAGGCTTGAGATGCAGGAAGAGGAATGAGTGAGGGAAGAAAGAGGAGAGCAAGCAGGAGAAAGGTTAATGTTTGAGTAAATAGAGCTGGTGGGGGGGGGGGTGCTACAGTGTCTGAACTAAAGCTAGGTCTATGATAGAAGAAAGGGAAACTTCTTTTTCTTGTGTGCATCTGGTGTGCAAGCAGCACAAAGGAGTCAGTCTTTAAAAGGTTTACCCACTCATACACAAACCATAATTTATCTTCACAACCCCTCCAATAATCTTGGGAGTGAACAGGGCAATGGGAAGAAGAAGAAACCAGGATCCTTCCTGTTTTCAACTGGGCTCCTGTCCCTCCTGTGCTGGTTCCAGCAGGATATCTGTCTCATTATTTGTTAGTCATCCACAGAGCCTCCCTCCTCTTGATAAGGAGAAAGACTCGTGGCATCAAACGACAGAGTCCGCCTCCTCAGCTCAACACTGCTGTCTTTGAATTGTGTCGCCACTGTAAYCGGCTCGTCCCCCGGAGGTGGGCTCATTCGCTGCTTCCTGATTTTGCCAGAAACGGGGGACGCCGAGTGGCTGAGGCGACTCCTGTGCTCCGCAGGACTTGGGGAAAGATGTCCGCTTATGTGCACGGAGCTGGGAGGAGGCTGTGTTTGCGAGTGCATCAAACTGTTTATACGACTTACTTCCTCATCAGCATCGTCTAACTGCGAAGCCGGGTCTGATCCAGCGCCAGCGCCAGGGCAGGCCACTCTGGAGCCAGGGAGCGGAGMTAAAAGTGTGTGTTCGCTGCTGGTGACCTTCAAACTGGACACTCCCTGTGGGCTGACAGGCCTCTTTTCTACATCTGTTTCTGGCCGTGAGCCGCAGATGGCCTGCTCAGGTACACGTTCATGTGCTGTGGCTTCACTGTGGCTCCGGCTGTGGCTCCTGCATGAGATCACCCTCTGGGGGTGTGCGTATTTCAGTGTGTGCACGCTGGACGATCTCTGACGACTTGGAGTGGGCACAGTGAGGCAGGACTCTGCCAGGTCGTCAGCTGAACCGTTCTGATCCAGAGAGTCACAGCGCACGGCCTCCTGATAAAAAACAAAACATGCCCAACAAACATAATGCAGTGGTAAAGAAATATAAATGTAATTATAGTTTGAATGCTGGTCTCTAGAGACTATCTGATACTGTCCCACTCAACTTATATTCAATTTCTTAAAGATGTTTTTGTTAACAATCACTTTCCTTCCAAATCAACAGATAACAGTACTATTTCCACTCATTTCCAATTATCCACTTGTTCACTTTCTACTATCACTAAAATATATGACCTTAAATCCAAATCACTCATTTGCCAGCTCCATCCTCTCCCTACTCATTTAGTTAATTCCCTTTTGCCTCCTTTATCTCTTTTCATAACTACAACTGTCTACTCTTCATCAGCTTCTGCTTGTGTTTCATTTTCTCACAAACCTACATACAACTCCAGTTCTTAGAAAACTTGTTGCAAATGGCAATCATCTAAATAAAATCAGACTAATCTCTAATCTAAAATTTATTTCTAATATATTAGGAAAGCCTGGTTAAAACTAGACCCATGTCCTTCACTTTGCTTCAAACGAGGGTCTGGACTCTCGGCTATAGAGAAGCGATTCTTGCTGAAGGCGTGGCCTCTGTGGAAGTCTGAAATGATTGGATCGGTTGGCCGTGACATATGTGTGCCAGCTCCACTGTGAAGGAGGCTAAGCTAAGAAGTTAACCGGAAATTATGTGCGCTGTAAACAACCCTACTGAGAGGAGAAAAGTACAGAGCCGAACAAGACGACTGTAAATGAGAGCTGCTGCTTTGTCAGACAAATWTAATTTATTTGGAAGCCTTATCAACCCGGACTGGCTTCATTCACTTCCTCCACTGCCATTGCTAAACTAACTAGCAGACACTGCACAGAAAATTGATGTTTTCCTTCGAAACTCTGCCTTCTGTTCTCTGATTGGCCTGAACAAAATTCTCCTAAAGAAATCCTTCTCTATGGGAGAAATCCCAGACAGAGCAGTGAAGGGAAACTAGAATTGAGCGGAACTGCGTAGGGCCATGCTAGAAAAGATAATAGCTTCACAATTTCATATGAGTAACTTCCAGTTTTTATCCTTTTAATAGCACTGAAGCAACTCAGGTTAAGGTTGCAAACAATCTGCTGTTGACTGCTGACTCTGGTATTCTGTTTGTACACAACCCTCTCTCACTGATTGCTGCTTTTGACATCCTTTTATAACATCCCTTTCAACCGTTTAGTTTCAGCTTGTTTCAATAACGCCGTCACTTGGTCACACAGTGTGTAAAAATATCCAGTCACAATCTTCTTCTGTTTTCTGTGGCGTTCCCCATGGCCCAACGTTGGGGCAACTTCATTTTTCAGATTTGTCTAAATATAGTAAGAAAAGTAGGAACATTTGGTGGATTATTTCTTTGTTGTAATAATGCTTCTTAGCAGTACTTATTATATTCTCCCTCTTATAATTCACAAGTCACCTTTGTAAGGAACATGCATTTGTGGGTTGAGCAGCAGAGTTCAGTATGTGGGTTGCACCTGTGTAAAATTTGTCAAATCTACTGTGCCAATTTCAAACAGGTTATTAAGCTATTGAATCTTGAGTTTTGAGGTTCTGGTACCTGAGGTGCTAAAAATTGATGCCTGGTTGTCAGCACCTGTGAGCAACCAGTAGCAAACCCATTTTGATGGTATGGGACTTAACTCAGGGGCAGTTCTATGGGCAGGGCCACAGGGGCATTGGCCCCAGCTGAAATCTGATTGCCCCCCTGAAGTGCCCCTGTCCTGTCACTCATCTGTCTTTTACCTGGGAGCAATGATGGCAGATGGAGTTCCATGTCCAAACACTAGAGGTGCTAATGAGTCAAATAGAAAAGTCCAGCATGAATCAAGCTGACAGAAGTCTTCTCTTCTTAAGAAAATTAGAACAATACTGCAGAAAGTCTTTCAAATGACAAATGATGACTAAATTTTCTCAAATGCTCTGTGTTTGTAAGTATTTAATCTAGTAAAAATGTATGTAAAACTGGTAAGGAGAATTTATTGTGCAAGCTTTTTAAAAAAATATATATTACATTACAGGTGTTTGAACATGTGTGACTGGTTAAACGTAAACACCTTACCAAAACTGGGGATTTGTGTGAAAGAATGTTGAGCAAATACTTGGCCCCTCTATCAAYATAGTGGCCCCTTGATGGCCCCTTACTCAAACAAATCCTAGATCCGTCAATGACTTAACTCTATCCTCCAAGATGTCAATGCTCAATAACACAGTGTGGTTCATCAGAGACTTCCTCCAGGATTTAATTTCATTTATTTATACAGGTTAGTCTCACTGAAACACAACTATCTCATTTGCAGTATAGAACTGAATGAGACTTTTTCAATAAAGAGGATGAACCCTGACATGAACCTCAATGAACACTTGTGGGATCAGTTTGGACATACTGTTTGTTACAGAGTGACAAATACAACCGCACTGACTGACTTTTGACAAATGCTGGTTAAAGAATGGGTTGCCATCGGACCAAGCTGGTGAGCTGCACAAAAAGGAAATAATGTTTTGTCTGTGTATGGTTCTTCCACATGCTACTGAAGGCACTGTTTGTTCATTAATAAACTGTTACATCAAGAACATTTTGTCTTGTTCCTTCAGACTTCAAACATCCATTCTAATAATCAACACCAACCAAGTCAACAGCAGATTAAGCTGTTTGGCACTGGCAGAAGATTTGGCATTTTTTAAATGGATGCTACACACATACTGTACTCAGCTCTTCTGCTCAACCCACAAATGCATTTTCCAAAAAAAAATTGTGACAGCATTTAGCCGAAATAAACAAGCTTTCCAACAATAAAAKATATAATGCCAAGAAGTATTTTTGTAGCAAAGAAATTAATAACAAAAAACTCAAATTCCCTTGCTTTTTGATCTAAGTTCATTTCCCCTTGGCTCTATTTTCAGGAAACAAAATTAAATGTCGTCATTATGCTGATGTCACCCAGCAGTCCCAGTCTACTAAACCCAATGCACTTCCTCCCTCTTCCTCGACTGACTGTTTAGAAGAGATTAACTGGTTTGCTAAGGATATTTGGTCTRACTCAGGAGTGGAAACTGAATTTCCTCTTGTTTGCTCCAAATCCACCCACAAATGTTTTAAGAGCCCAGGTGCCATTCTTGAAAGCGCACTTTCCTTTGAAAACCATAGTATTTATGCTCATTCAACTTACTTTTAACAATGAACTCTCAACAGTCTTTGAGTCGCTTACAGCCAACAGCACTGCTGCTCTTATCTATGTCCTTGTTACTACTTTCATTGATTTTCTTTTCTCTGGTCTACCACACAAATCCATACACTTCAAACGGTCCAGGRCGTTCTGCTTGCATCGTCACCACAACATCCATCTGCTGAACTCAACATTCTCAAACAACTCCACTGGCTCTAAGGTTGCTTTGAATTTAAAATTCTCCGCCTGACTTTCAAAGTTCTCCATCATTTTGCGCCTCCATACCGTTTGAAATGCRCCACCACAAATTCCCTTTCTGCCTGTGCTGTGTTTAAAAAGAAAACAAATTTATTCTGCTTTATTATAGTTTTTGTGTTTTGTCGCATCGCATTAAATTATTATGTTCCGGTTGCTTGTATGGAAACAAAACAAGCTTGTAGTGCATTGCCACACAACTGAGAGATTATTTTGATGAGAGGGAAGATGATAGAAAGAAAATAACGCACCTGTCTCCGTAGCTGTCTGCTTACACTGCGGAAGGAGGCGGGTCTCTTCAGGACTGAACTCTCTGGAACGTAGGAAGGACTGAGTTTGTTTTTGTCTAAACTGTCCTCAGGACTGAGCCACGAAGAGGACCAYCTGCTGCTGCTGCCGTGCGTCGGACTCAGTCTGACTGACGGATATCTGTCTATGCTGTGGCTGGACAGCAGCTTGGGCCTGTCTGTGCTCGGATCTGGATTCAGTCTGTATCCGTCCATACTGTGAGCAGAGCTGAGTCTGTGCCTGTTTATCCGACGAGCCGGGCTGAATCTATACCCGTCTATACTGTGAGCCGAGTTCAGTCTGTGTCGGTTTGTTCGGTGAGTCGGGCTGAGTCTGGATCCCTCCACGCTGTTGGCTGGACTCAGTCTGTGTGTGGAGTGTCTGTCGAAGCTCTGAGAGGCGCTGAGGCAGATCATTGGCCTGAAGCTGCGTCCGGACCCCAGCGAAGCATGGCTGATGGTGGGCAGAGCTCCTGGAACCTGCAGCAGAGAGCTTCCTCCGCTGGAGCCCAGAGATGACATGGAGCCTGTAGGACATAATCCAGATTATAAAAGACACACATGAAAATGAGATAGCCTCAATAATTTCATACAAAAGGAAACACAACAGAGAACAAAAGCTTAGAGAGTAATAACTTACCTACAATTAGATCAGTGTTATTCAGTATAGTTAAAGATCAAATTAACTGTTTACTATTTCATCATCAGGGTTCAGTTTCTTAATAAAAAAAGATAATTTCCTCCAAAAGTTCAACTTTATAAGCACACTSTCTTTTTATTCAACACAAGTTTTGWGATTTCTYAGTCGTGTCAATGCTGCCAATTTTAATAATGTAGCACTTTGGTTTATTATAACATAAGACAAGCAGGAAATAAACTGCCAGGGTTTGTGTGTGCAATGTTCATTTATTTGGCACAATACAATTTAAAGCTTAAAAAATCTAATAAATCATATATCCTGTTTGCAAACTTTATAAAATGTTTCTGTAGTTGAAGCAGATTTGCCTGAAACTGAAAAAAAACAAACAATAAAATAATCTTCTTTTACTTTTCAAAGTAAAGGTTTTGAAGCAAGTACTTTCCCKAAAAGCAACACCCAAACACTCAAACGTAGCCCATATTTTAACGGGACATGCGTCTTAAAAATAAAAAGCATCTTGGAAACAAATCTTCCTATTGATTAGCTCACTTAACCTTCTGAGCCCAGGAGCCAACTTATCATATTTAGAAACATCTCRGAGTAAAGTGAACGTTCTGCCTCTGAGATATTCAAGGTTGAACGTTCTCAGCGCTCGGGCGTGTGCCTTACAGCTGCAAGCTCAGTTTGATATTTTACATTAAGACATAGAACCATTTGTCACAGTGTCCTTGAGGCTGTTCACTGGCAGCACAGAGTCTGTAGATTTCCTTTCTGTACAGTTGAGACATTTGGTATAAATCTTTAAATACACTGAAACTACATGTTGGTACAGATACATTTCCCTTGGCAGCACAAATTGACTTTATATGTTATCACTTATTTTATTATTCAAAAATTTTAGTAATACATTGATTATTTATGCAAATTTTAGAAAGACCTAGCATTCCTTGAATGAATAGACTAAGACCATCTTATATTAAGAAATAATGGAGTTGTAAGAATTTTTATTGCTTTTATTGCAACCTTGGTGATTTTACATCTATGACATGAGCTATAAAAATAAACTTTAAGGTAGTGCACCTTCTTGTGCAATATTGCCAATTATTATGCTTAGAAAATGAGTTGTGAAGGACACTTAGCTACAAGCACACCAAACTTCAGCTCAATTTTTGTCAAATTCACTAAAGATATAAACATTTCTGTGTTGACAAATGTTGATTAGCATGAAGGAATATAACTGGACCAGAAAATAAATAAATACACTTAAAA